TTTTTTTTTTTTTACCCCTCCAACTGTCCTGGCAGAATATTTATTAACTGATGCTCAAAAACGATGACTGAAAGCAGCAGCCATCTGTTTTCAGGGTTCCATCAGTGGCCAAGCAGACACATGGGGAACTGGAATTCATGTTGGGAATCTGCAGAACTCATGACTAAACCCAAAAGAGCAAACTCCTGTGCTCAGCTGAAGGAACTAGCTCTGATTACACAACACCCACTGGCACACACTGACAAGCAGCAGCGCTGCCCTCGGGGATGCTCCTGCATTCAGCTCTGACACAGTCCCAGGAAATCTCATCCTGACTGCAGACACAGCCCGGGGGCTGCCCCCACACTGCTGCCCTGCTGCTGGTGCTCACCGTGTGCTCGCTGCTCCTCGCCTCCACGCTCATCCTGCAAGAGAAGCCAGCCATCAGCTCATGGCACGACTCAGCACTCGCCACCAGTGCCACCAGCTCATCCCCCCCAGCCCCCCCTGAGGACAGCGGGTGTCCTCCCTGTGACTACAGCAGGCCCCAGACCATCCCCTTCTTCAGGTTACCACTCTGGGCAATGATTTATTCCTAGGTAGCCCTCAAGGCCAAGGGGACTTCCCAAGAACCCAAATCCGCCTGAAAGCAGGGAGAAATACACCACAGCCTGCCATTACTGCCCACTCGGGGAACAAAAACCTGCTTCTCTCCACCAGAGAGAAAGTAGAGGCATTCCTCTTACTGGATCTTGATACATTTTTGGAGAAGATCTTGAACACCAGAAATGATTACTTCTGGTAAGTTTTAATGACAATGAAAAGTGACCCATTCATCACTTTCGGATACTCATTTTAGATATCAAGCACTGAATATCCAAATTTAGGTAACACGCTCATCAAAACATCATATAGTTGAGAATTCACAAATTCAGATTGAAACAAAAGCAAATTCCTAGGGTACAAGTCTTGAAACCTTCCTCAATCTTAAGTAATAAAAGCTCTTAACAGCATCAATATTTGTCCTGCTCAGTAACCACAGACAAGACCTGTGGGATGAGAGCTCCCAGGGGGCACCCCCCGAGCGCCCACCCGCACGCAGCGAACACGCTCAGCAGCATACCTGGCCTGGCTCATCACCCTGGAGGAGAACTTTGGCTGTGAGAGGAGGCGGCAGCTGGGTGCTCACAATCCTGAAAGTGCAAAACCAAGTCACCACCCATGAGCACAGCATCACCTGACAGTCAGCTGGGGGTTCTCATCCCGGCTGAGCCAGCGGCAGCGCGGTGCTCACACGAGGCTGCTCTCTGCACAGACCTGGCTGGGCTGCAGGGCCCCGTTTCCCAGACAGGGCATCCCTGGGGGGTCTTTTCCATCGCACCCACCCCTCCAGGTTGTGCTAGGCACCCTGCGTGGGTTGAAGGACCAGCCTCAGACACGGGCTGCTACCATACCCAGCACAAAAGGAACACAAGCTGGGTGACCGTCAGGACTCGAATTCTCTTTGTTGGGTTGGTTCCACTACAAACCCTGCTGGTATTTCCTCTGGGCCAACAAATCTGGTTTTGCCAAGTCAGGACCTAATATTAGCAATGTTTCCTGCCACCCCCCGAAGAGCTGTGAGCAGTGGAGAAGATTCAGGAGGACGAACACTCCAGGTACTGCAATGTAGCCCCTCGTACAGGGCTTCAGAAGGTTTGTGATCTCTCCACGTACACCTTGCTGAGATCCACCTTCTTCAGATTCTCCAAAAGACTCTAAAGAAAGGGAAGTTTCACCCCAGCACAAAGCCCTCTGCAGTGCTGCAGCAAGGTTCAGAGAACTCTGATGTTTGGTGGAAAAAACCTCTACCAGAGGGAAGAGCAAGGCAGTGAGACACACCGGGGTGATGGGCAGGCACAGGACAGGACCTGGGTCTGCAGTCAGACGTCTGCTTCCAGGGCAACACTGCCAGGTTTAAGGATGCTGCAGTGACTCACGCCCAGCATCCTGCTTGCAAGTGACATCATTGCCTTAAAAACGTCTGGCCAGCCTCTGTCAGGCCTGGAGAGCAGCGCACATTGTGGCATAATTCCAGCGCTTGTAGGATGTGCTGCAGGCACAGCCCGTGTCAAAGGGAAGGAATGCTGCTGCCAAGGGATTCTCCAAATCCCCCAAGGGATTCGAGGCTTTCCTTGATGTCGTTCAGAGCCACACCTGCAGCATCCTCAGCTACCTGTGATTTATCTGCAGCTGAAAGATGACAGATTTCCCACAGGAAATTCTGTCTCATTCTTCTCTGTACTTTCTGCCAGTACAGAGAGCGGTCCTGGCTACAAGGCAGGCAGAAATATACAGGGACAGGCACTCGTGTGCCCTGCAAGACAGCAAGGAGTGCGAGAATGATGTACACACTTATTGCCTTCTCCTGGGGACTTCCACCTGAGCAGTCCAACTCGTTAGGCCCTCACGTTTCACTGAATACCGACAGCAGGCTACTCCTTACACTGAAACCTTGAATTCCTTCATGCTTCAGTTTTTCCCACTTACAGACACAAGTGACCATTTATCCTCTCTGAAATACAGCAGCAGACAGGGATGCCCTTGCCTGAAGCATTAATGTTCCTGCCAGTACCAGAAAGCAGCCCCGTGTGTCCAGCTGCTGTCCCTGCTCTGCTCCCTGGATGCTCCCCAGGATCGGAGCTCTGAGCACAGGCAGATTTAAGGGCCAGGCCTGGTCACTTACAAGCCTTTGTAGAGAATACAGCCTGCCAGGACATGGGGAGACCGCTGGCAAGTCTGCAAGATGAGAGCTGCTTTCAGTAAAAGCAGTGGGTCCACCTAGACAGAGAGAAACAGAGGTCGTGTCAGAGAACCCCAAGAAATGCTCAAAACAGCAAATAAAAACCAAAACTGAGGCATTGACAGAGCTATGCACTGCAGAGGACAGCTTTTTACCTTGTTCTTGTCCAGATTCCAGAGAGAATTAAAAATCTTGTGGAGGTCGTTGGTGTTTTTCTGGATGTGGTCAATGTACCGGTCCCACTGCCTGTCCAGCTCCTCCTGAGAAAACTCCTGCGGACACCCAAAATCCGCGTGGCTGTCACTGCCCGATCCCCACCGCGCTCCCAGCCAGACCCAGCACGGCTGCTGCTCTCTGCTTACCGCGTAAGCGCGGTGCACGGGCCCATTGTAGAAGGTGAAGAGGCTGATCAGCTGCTCCAGAAACCGTCTGCAGCTGATGTCAGAGAGCTCAACAGCGCAGCCCAGCACCTTCAATGCAGAAAGCCACAAATGGTGAGCATGACAACCCAGGGACAGCAGGTGAGAGCAACTCGTACTGCTTTTAAGTATCAAGGGCATACAGGGAGTTCCATGGCAGGCAGACATTCCCCAGATTCACAAGTCTGATTAAAAGAAATTTCAAAAATACCCAAAGGAGAGCCCTGGCACAGCCAGGATAAGCAAATACAAGCCAGTTTTAGACGCTCTCCCTTCTCATTGTACATTAGGTGACCTAGCTCAGCGCTCTAAATCATTATCAACATTTTCCTGAAAGTAAGGACTTTAAAACATTCACATTCACCTGCAATTTACAGCAATCAAGATGTTTAATTTTGTTTTGGAGCAAAATTAAAGGAAGGAAGAAACAGAAGTGCCAGGGCCTTCTGGCTTGTTCCAGCCATGGCCAGGCGCGTCCCAGCTGATGCACTGGGTGCAGACGCACAGAGGCAGGGGGGGCTTTTACAAACCGGGTGAAGGGATCACCCTGCACATGCCCCCACTGCAGCAACCCAAAGCTGGCAGTGAGGAGCTGAGCCCTGCAGCCTCCCCCCAGGTCTCCCTGTGCCAGGCCCACACCCCCTGGAAGAAAATCCCTGAGTCTGCCGGGGCAGCCGGGGCTCCTCGCGGGTTTAGCGGGTGCCCCCAGCCCCCCGCACTCACCCACAGGTGGTCCCCGTCGGCTCTGACGGCGAACTTGAGCTTCCTCAGGCGGATGAGGCCGGGGGCAGCCCCCGAGATGTCGGCCACGCAGCGCACGGCGCCCGCCAGCTGCCCGCACAGCAGCTCCTGCTGCTCGGGGGGCGTCTGGGGGGGGGCGAGAGCGGCTTTAGGCCTTTAGTGGGGCTTGGGGAGACGGCAACAACACCGCGCTCAGAGATAATTAATTATAAATACAACTCTGAGTCAAATGGGTGCAGTGAGACAGGGAAATTGGGGGGGGAATGGGATTGAGCTGCTTTTCCAGGCAGCACCAGGCCTGGGTCACCGCGGTGCCCGCAGCCCCCCAGTACCCCCCAGCCCCCTTAGTACCCCCCAAGACCCCCCCCCGCCCTCCCAAGCTCCCCAGACCCCCTAGTGCCCCCCAGTACCCCCCACTAGGCCCCCCAACCCCTCCTCAGCCCCCCCTCAGTACCCCCAGGCCCCCCCAGACTCCCCTCGTGCCCCTCAGGGCCCCACTAGGCCCCCCAAGCCTCCCTTAGCTCCCCTAGTACCCCCAGGCCCCCCCAGATCCCCCCAAGCTCCCCTCTAGTGTCCCCCCAGTGTCCCCCCAGTGCCCCCAGACCCCCCCCAAACTCCCCTAGTGCCCCCCCAGTGTCCCCCCAGGGCTCCCCAGACCCCCCCCCAGACTCTCCCAGGGCCCCCAAGAACCCCCAGTGCCCCCCAGCCCCCCCCCAGTGCCCCCCCCAAGCCCTCTCCAGCCCCCCCGCCCCCGCTACCTGCCGGGGGTGGAAGCAGCAGATCCCGGCGCTCGTGGGGTCCCCCTCGCCCCGCACCTTGGAGCCGTCGTAGAGGAAGAAGCAGCTGCACCTGAGGGGCACGGCCAAACCGGGGGCGTCAGGCGGCACCGGGACCCCCCCGGGACCCCCCGTGTCCCTCCCCCTTCACCACCACCCCCCCTCAGGCTCCATCCCCGTCCCCCCCCCCCTCCCCGCTCACCACGGGGCCGGGCCGGGCCGGGCCATGGGGCCGTGGTGGGGGGTGCGGGGGGGGCGCTGCCGGTCCCGTGCCCGCCCCCTCGTGACGGCGGCGCCGACGGCGGCCGCGCGGGGCCGATGGCGGAGGGCGCCTGGGAAGCGCCGGGGGGGCGGCGGCGGCGGAGACGGGAACGGGGGGAGCCCGAGGGGGGGGGCGCGGTGCTGAGGAGGCTGCGGGAGGCGCGGTGAGTGCGGGACCCCCCCCAAAAAAAAACACCGGGCAGCCCCCCCCGGCCACGCTCACCCCCGGTAACCCCCCCGCAGGGACGAGCTGCTCGGCTCCGGCTTCTGGGAGGACAGCGCCGGTGAGTGCGGAGCTGGGGGGCACCGGGGGGCACCGGGGGGGCACCGGGGGGCTGAGGGGGTCGGGGGGGCACCGGGGGGGCCGCTGTGGCGGTGTATGGGTGTCCCGGTGTCCCCCCCGTGTCCCGGTGCCTGACGCCCCCCCCCCCCCCCCAGGAGCCGTCCGGGCCCCGGGGTGCGTTGCGGGGCGGCCGTGGCGCTGCGTCTGCTACGGGCTGGGCCGCTTCGGGACCTGCCCCAACGCCCGGCACCAGCTGGCCTTCCTGCTGCTGCTGCTGCAGAGCATGGAGGTACGGCCGGGAACAGCCCCACGCGGGGCCCGCACCCCACCCGTGGCCGGTTCCCACCCGTGACCCCAGCCCCACACTCAGCCCCATCCCCCTGCATGTCCCCAACCCCCTGCGTGTCCCCCCCACCTGTGTCCTCACACCACACAGGGCCGTGTCCCCATGTGTCCCCCACACGTATTCCTGCCCCACACAGGGCCCTGACCCCACCCGTGTCCCCAGCCCCACACTCAGCCCCATCCCCATGCATGTCCCCAACTCCCTGCGCGTCCCCAGCCCACCCAGCACCCTGTCCCCATGTGTCCCCCACACGTATTCCTGCCCCACACTCAGCCCTGTCCCCACCCGTGTCCCCAGCCCAATCCCTATGCATGTCCCTGACCCCCTGCATGTCCCCAGCCCACCCAGGGCCCTGTCCCCATGTGTCCCAGCCCCACACTCAGCCCCATCCCCCTGCATGTCCCTGACCCCCTGCATATCCCCAGCCCACCCAGCACCCTGTCCCCACCCGTGTTCCCCCCACGCGTGTCCTCACACCGCACAGGGTCCTGTCCCCATGTGTCCCACACACATGTACCTGCCCTACACTCAGCCCAATCCCCCTGCATGTCCCTGACCCCCTGCATGTCCCCAACCCACCCAGGGCCCTGTCCCCATGTGTCCCCCACACGTGTTCCTGCCCCACACTCAGCCCTGTCCCCACCCGTGTCCCCACAGGTGCCCCCTGACCGCTGCCTGGTGTTCGACCCGGCCTTCTCGGAGCTGGAGGTGGCGGCGCTGGGCGAGTTGGGGCTGCGGCTGCTGCCGGAGAACGAGGTGAGGGCAGCCCCGACCCAGCCGGGTCCCGGCCCCTGGTGCAGCCCCAGCCCGGCCCCAGCGCCCTGCTCCCCGCAGGAGGGCAAGCACCAGGTGCAGGATTCGCCCACGCTGTTCTACATGGTGCACTGCGGGAAGGCGCTGTACAACAACCTGCTCTGGAGGAACTGGGCCCCGGCCACGCTGTCCAACATGGTCATCATCGGCAACAGCTTCAAGGGGATGCAGGAGAGGTGCGCACCCAGCCCTGCTCCCTTCCCTCTGTGTTTGCCTTTTTCCAACGCTTCTCTCAGGGATGTCTGCGTGGTGCCCAAGGCCTGGCTCAGGTTGAGCTGCTGCCACAACAGCAGCCCTCGGGCATCCCTGTCCCCTACCCCTGCTGCCCCCCGCAGCTGCAGAGAAGCTTCAGCCCCCAGAAGGGCACGGCCCCTGCTGCCACCTCACAGCTTTGTTTTGCAGAGTGCTGTCAAGAATACTGGAGAGAGATTACTCCTACATAGCAAAGGTAGGAAGCACTGTGTGTTTTTTTTTTTAAACTGACTGGTTTGTGCTGACAAGCACCTTTTAATGAGAAAGGGAATTAATTGGAACTGTAAAGAAGGGGGTTGGTTTAAAAACCTTCTGTCTTGTCAGCTACAGCATAAAAATTAATCCTCTTTTTTTTTTGTTGTCTGCAGAAGACACTGTGAACAGGGGTAACGGGTACAGCTAGCACTGTTCCCATCCACACAGAACAGTTTTTACACGGTACATAACATTTTTTCCAATGTGCACAGATCTTAAAAGGGACAGAGGAGGTGGCGCTCCCAGCACACCCTCGGTACACAGACACCTTCAACGACACCTCCGTCCACTGGTTTCCCCTGCACAAACTGGAGCAGCTCTCTGCGGAGGTTTGGGAGTTCCTGGAGGAGCCGACGTACCAGGAGTGCGAGGACTTGGAGATCATCAGGAAGGAGGACGAAGGTAATAGGCACAGCCCCAGTGGCAGTGCAGTCCTGACTGCACCCTGGGGTAGACCCGGTCCTTCCCAGGGTAACACCAGCACGGCCGAGAGAAGCCCAAGCGCAGACAGCGTCACCCCCACCTGCAGCAGCACAGTGCCTGGATGCTGAGCCCAGTGGGACAGTTGTGGAGCTCAGTGTTTTTTTTTAATAAAAGTGTTTTTTAATAAGCTGTGCTTTGACTCATGCTCAACTAGAGCAAACTCGGGTAACTGCAGAGAACTGCCTTTTAAACCAGGCGCAGAGCACGGTGATTGCGCTTCTGATCTCCCCTGTCACAAGGGATTCAAAGCCTTCGCCTGCACCATGCACGTTTTGACATATACAGAAAGGCAACTAATTTGAGGGATGTGCAGCTGAAAGTGACAGCAGATGGTTCTAACACAGACTTATAAAAGCTCTTTCCCAGGCAGGGGACTCGAGCTGTTCAGTGCTGCTACAACCAGCTCTCCAGACATTCTTCTTTGAAGAGCCACAGCATTTCCCTCTGGGGAAAGAAGTGCCCAGAATTACTGAGCTCCTACAGCTCATCTGAACGTACTAGAACAGCAATCTCCCTTCCAGCTCTGCTTTGAGATGGGCACTGGGAGCTGATGAGGGCCCAAGGGCTGAGGCAGGGACTAGGCTGAACAAGCCCACCGCACACCTGGAGGGGCAGCCCAGCTCCTGGCTGCAGCTGGCAGAGAAGGGCCCAGTGTGAGGGACAGCATCAGGACCTTAATTATCACTGCCAGGGCAGCGCAGCAGCTGAGAGCTGTGAAACCTTCATCAGGGGAGCCTTTCAGGGTGACCTGCTGTTGGTGATGGCCCTGCTTTGAGCAGAGAATGACCACCGGGGTCCCTTCAAACCCCCACTGGTCTAATGGTTTCAAACAAGTACTGAAGTGGTGTCACAAGTGGCAATTACACAACAGCGGAACTGCTGGCTCCTCCTCAGCACCACCTTCGATGAATCTCACCTCTTGACACTGTCGGAGCAGCTAAGAAACCAATCCTGGTGTACAGCTGAAGCTTCGTTATTTACAAACCTGTAACTTCTTTATTTTACAACAGTTACCCTAAAAATATCATTAAGATCATCTTCACAGTTCAAAGCAGGAGCCTCACTTCGCCATATCGATGAGACTCTGGAGGGAGGTTGGCACCCAAGTCTTCTCTCCTTGCACAAACACAACGCCCCTGTCGATGTAAATCACAATCCGCCCAAACGTGTACAGCTGCTTCCCCTCGTGCCGCTTGCCGATCACCGGCATGAACACGATGTTGTGCTCCTCTGCCTTTGTCTGAATCAGGTCCTTGAAGTTCATGGGCACGGAGCTAGCAGCCATGCCGATGCCTCGCTGGGCCATGTTCTCAGCCTCTCGCCGCTCCTGCATGGCCTCGTACTGGAAGTCCTTCCTCCGCTCTGTGTGCGTGAGGTACGCGATATTCTCCCGAGCACCCGGCTGCATGTAGCCACCTGGTGGGCAGACAGAACGTGAGAACAAGGTCCCTGGGCAAAGTCGGTCCAGGACACAGTAAATATTATTTAAGTTGAGCCATAATGTTCTGAATCATCCCTTACAGCTTTTGTTGCTTCAGTTTTAGTGTTAATACAACAGACTAGAAAGATGAATCAGAGAACTGCAACAAAAGAGACGGGGTTTGATAATCCCCAACTGAATCTGAGCGTGCACAAGGATGCTGCACTCCTGCTGAACAAGGGAAAACAAACAGCAACAACAAAATGTACTCCTCAAGGCCCAAACCCAGCCTGTGGTCCCCACCTGCCCCCTCTGAGTTAAAAACAGTGCCTACTGCAAAATGTGGCTAAGGACGGCAGGCACCACGCTGCAAGCAGCAGCGTTGCACCACAGGACTTTCCCTGTCAGCCCCAGTTCCCTATGTAGCTGCACGCGTACCATGCCAGAAATTTCTCAATAGATGAATTCCTCTGAGTGCAATGCCTGCCTGTTTTACCACAGAAACGAACACTTAAAATAGAGCTTAAGGAATTATCCGTGTTTCTGATGCAAATTCTCCATCACACTATAAAGCAAGTGGCTGGGAGGATCACAGATAAACAGTTAGCAGTCTGAGGACAGGACAAATTTCAGGCACTGCTCCCTTGGGCATTTCTTTCCCTTTTTACACAGTTTAATTTCCAGCAAATTCCTAACAATTCTTTTGTATCAGAGGGAGGGTCATGTGGAAGGAAGGGCACTGCTCTAATGCTAAGGAGAAGGAAAAAATAAACCCACACTAAATTATAGCTTCAGAAGCCAACAATTTGAAATGATGGTCTCTGCTGCTCTCTCCTGACATAAAATACCCTGTATCCAGGCGATGCTGAAAAGAGAATCAGTACCCTAATGGCACAGGCACCAGAGATAAAAAACAGTTTGTGCTTCACTGAAGCACAGATAATTACTATGGGCAGAGTGAAGTAAAAATCCTTCTGGTTCTTAATGCTCACTGGAGCAGCTGCAGTGCTGATTAGCAGGGCTATTCCTAAACACAGCCTGACAAGAACCAAGCGCTGCTGTGCTGCCACCACAGGAAGCCACCTACCAACGCTGGAAGAGACAGCCCGGTTCATGATATCGAGAGCTTCATTAAATTTGTCTTTGATCGACGGATGTGCCAACACTTGGTCTGAGAACATGGACTTCCAGCCCAAGTACCACTTCGTGATCTCTTCATAATTGGGGCTGTTGCTGAGCCAAGAGCACAGCACCTGCAAAACAACAGGACCAGTCAGATTCAATTGGACACAATTATGAAAGAACGTCCATATAATGCATTACTTCATTACTGAGCTTTCAGTAAAAGAAAGACAATGACAGTCTGAGGAAAAAGTCTGGTCTCCTGGGTACGGAGCTATGATGGAAACAGCTCGATGTAGCAGTTGAACTATTTCGACACTGGGGCAGCAATTGCTAGATCGGAGTCACCAAAATACTTCACTTTGAACCATGCCTGACTCAGCCTTGGTAAGCTCCTCACCTGCAGCCACTTGGGGAAGAAGTGTTTCTCCAGCAGCCCAACAAGACTGGAGACAGAAATCATCCCCTCCCAGTCAATCACCCAGTAGAAGGCATCCATGTGCTGCTGGTGCGGGTTTATTATGAGTTCGTTCAAACACATCCCTAGGAAACAGGAAGAAGAGTTACAGCAGAAGGCGACTTACAAGTGCCCTGAGCTATTTCACAACGATACATGCACGATTTGAGGAGCCACAGTACTGCGCATTACCCCATGAGACTTTCGGGATCTTTAAACTGTTTGCCTGATCCCTGACACTGGAACAGTGCACTTCCATTTCCCACGATTACAATTTGCTGCCAGAGCTGAGAAACTTAAAACATTCAACTGTTGTTTTTTTTTTTTTTTTTTTAAGACCACAGAGCTTTTTAGCCAAGTTGCATGGCTGACAGGAATTGCAAAATCTCATGGTGAAAGCATTAACACAGGCCTAAGAATACAGAAGCACCACGCTGTAAGTCATCTCCCCATTCTGACAGCCATCAAATATTCCTGTCAGCTGAGGCATCAGATTACTTAGAAAAATAAAGACAGAAAACACTGAGAATAATCACAGGACTTCCCAATGATTTCTACAATGTCTGCCTTTAAAAAAAAATAAAAGCAGGGTAGTGGTAACACAAAAGAAGATGCAAACTTTGTCTAAACTCACTAATAATTTTTGAAGTGACACTGACAATCGTGCCCATGTGGTTTTTCAGGGGTTAAGGGGGAAGGCAGCAACCAGCAGATTCAGGAATTTGGCACTGTTTGGCCTGTCTCACCTAGCTTAGGCACAATGTTTTTGACCATGAAGGCCTCCCAGGACCCAGGTGTGAACACGTCCTTCCAGGGCTGCAGGATGAGCTTGGCTGAGGAGTCGCTGGGATGCCATTTCTGCAGCGCGTTCGCCAGCTTGTTTCGGATGGGAGAGTACAGCGGCTCCAATCGTGCCTGCATCAGGGGAAGCCAGGGGTGGATCCACGAATGGATTGGGACTGTGTCTGTCAAAGGATTCCAGTTTTCAACCTGAAGGCAAAACACAGAAGAGAATTCCTAAGTCCATCCGTTGGCAGCAAGTCTTGCCAGATACAGGAAGAGCCATACTGTAACCCCCCAGTACCTAAATACACTGACGAGGCAACAGACCGGTGTTTTGGAGGTTGTAGTTGGCTGAAATTGAAACACTGCCTCAGAGCAAGGCTGCGTTCCAGCGCAGCTCTCCCATCTTACCTCTTTCTGTAGCTTGGGGAAGATGAGCTGATCCAGAATGTTATCCAGGATCCACACGGGAACAACGTGCACCCAGCTGTCCAAGAAATCCACCATCGACCCGCAGTTCCTCGGCTGCCACTGAGCCACTATGTTCCTGACATATGGCATCCAGATTTCCCACATCAGTCTGGAAAAAAATCAAAGTTAAGTTCAAAGCTGTAGCCCCAAGCCTAGATAAACCAAACGGATAACTTATTTAAAAGCTACTTCCTTTTATATAGTAAACAGCTGGATTTTAACAGACATCTCAAGAGAATCATCTGGAAAGCACGCTTCTCCCTCTTCCATCACTGAGGAAGCAGCATTTGAAGGTACTCAAAGTGCAATTAATTTCTTATTTACCTGTGAAAAGCATCTGTTGAGAGGTCCTGCCCACCGTGCGATAACAGCTGGTCGTTTTCCAAAAGGCTCTTCCACTTGGCTATGATCTCCGTGCCATACGTACAGTCCTGGAAACGATAAGGTGTAAGTGGTCGTTATCCTTTTTCCCTCGTTTCAGCTGGTATCTACAAAGAACAGGCCGGCAGCGTGCTCCGCCAGCCAGCTTCTCACTGACTCAGACAACAAGCTAGGAGCCTGCAGCAGTTATTAAGGTCCCACAAGAGGAAACCCCCCCTTTATGGATTTATCATACCTCCAGGAGGAGGAAGGATTGTCAGAACTTTTTCAGGGGTGCACAGAGAATCCAGACTCTTAATGGAGCACAGCCTAAATGGCATTAGGAACAAACACTGCATACCTGACTGCTTGAAAAACAGACCCCTCTGCTTTTCAAAAAATAAGGACTAGAGAGTTAGCTTTTATCTGCCTTTTCTTCCTAACATCCATGAAAAGACTTGACTTTAATCCTACAAGCCCCTAAACTGTTGGCCATTCTACACAACGCTGGCCTTGGGCCCTAGGAAGTGTCTGGGTGCGTGTGCAGGGTGGATCCATCTTTCTGCACATTTATCTCACTCTGACATGAACGCTGGGAGCATTCTCTGGAGCCTCCTTTTCTCCTGCCAGGTGAGAGGAAGGGGCTCTGTCTCATTTTTTTATTTTATTTGCTCTCCAAAGTGGACAGGAATTCTCGGCAAGGAGGGGAAAGTTAAAATAAAAAAGCTTAAGCCATCAAATAAAAATTGCAGATAAATCAAACTAACACACACCTTGAGGGGATCCCAGTTCTTGAAGTAATCTTTCATGAGAGGATAAACTATTGCCACCGCCAAGTCCACCCTATCAGACATTCTGTATTCTTCGTAGTACTTGTCTTGAAGCGTCTCAAAAATCTTTGCGCACTCATCCAGGGTCAAGGGATTCTCACAGTTGGGCTGCATCCGCCTCTCGCACTCTTCCACCATGTCCAGGACCTTGCTGAGATTGCTGATCGCAGTCTCCTCGTGCGAGAGGACTTCAGACATCTTCTGAATCTCGTGGGTCAGGTTGACGACCATGTCCCTCTCATACTGCAGCTGCCGGTCGCTCTGGATGATCTCCTGCTCTGTGATGTCGATGAGGAGCTGCAGGTTGTGCTCCAGCTCAGGCAAGGCGAATCCCTGGGGCTTGGCAGTCTTTGCCCAGTGGCTGCTGAGGGCTGTCGTCAGGGATGTTGTGCTTGTGGCTGATCTGACTGTAGCTGTAATAAACCTTCTGCTCCCGGCCCGTCATATCTATGACCTTCCAACAAACAAGAAAAAACATGTCTTAAAAAACGTGTTTCATATTAAATCGGGAGGAAATTCCTTACCAAACTGGAGACTTTCAACTCCCTTCATTACTCCTGCAGGCTAGTAACAAGATCTGGTATTCTGACAGGCAACTGGAGGCTACCTCTAAAAAGGCCCACTGCTGGCCTGAAGATTTACAATGAATAAAACACTCTGCAGTCAGAGCTGGAGGACTCTGCCTCTGAACTCAATTTTACCACCTCGCTGAGTTAATCTGCAAACTGCATTGATGCAAGCAGTATTTTGTTTGTTGTTGTACAGAAGTCTTCGGTAATTTAATACTTTTTTTTTTTTAAAGACACGTTAATTTTAGGTGAGTATCTTAATTAAGCTATGTGAGCTATGACAAATGTGAGACAACTTCCTAAAGGAAACAACCCCAACGTCCCAGGTGATGCTGTGGTCTATTAAAGGAGTTGATAATGAGTCTGAGGCCTTGATTTGCATGAGGCTGTATACAGTCAGTTTTTACAACTGCCTTCTATTGAGGTTACTGATGGCTAAAAAAACCCCTCATAACATTTCATGGACAAACTGGCTTCCAGAGATACCATCACTTGGGTATCAGCCTTACCTTGACCTGAGACAGCTCCTTCTGAGGGGCTGAAAGCTGTTTGTTGATCCTGCCCTTAGCTTTCAGTTCTTCTACTGTCTTATAGCTGTATTTGGGCTTCTTCTTGCCTCCATTGGGATCCTTCCGCCACTGGCTGAGCTCTTTTTGAAATTCCTAAACAAAAACAAAAGGAAGTTGCTGTTGATGCTCTGTCTCACCCCAAAATTGTTTATTCTCTATGAAAAAAAAAACACTAGATCAATGAATAATGCTTTACGGAAGAATAACAAGAGGTAAAGCACAGCAGCCAGCTGGCTCAGCCAACCACCTTACTCTCAATGCTAGCAGAATGTTTCTTACCTTTTTTTTTTTCCTCTAAGCTAAAGCCAACTACTTATTTGGGAGGGGACTGTTTGAGGATGGGGTTCTAGGAATACTACCAGAATAAAGTGGGCCAGAACCAACAAAAAGAACATTGCAAGGACAGGAATAGATACGACATAAATTTCACTTAGATACATCTCTAACTTCTTATCTAAAATGATTTCAGACAGTTTTCTTTTAACACAGAAGCTGATACTAGAACTGAATTTTGTACAAACAGCACAAGAGGGAAAGCAGGTGTACCAGGAATCATAAATACCTCTTCGGCTTCTTCTTCTGAGTCAACAACAGGGAAGTCTTGCAAAGACTGGCTGGTTCGTTCAGAGCCATACGCTCCCACAGCTCCTTTGCCCTTTCTCTGCTTGGCCTCAATCGGATTGATGATACCTAACAAGACAGGAGTTAGATCAGGGGAAAGAACAGCTTAACAGGGAGAATACTTTTCTTACCGTACCTTAATTATCCCATCAGCACAAACACCCAGCCTCGCACTCCCCCTCCACTACTGTGGCATCCTTCTCCACTTCACTTATTTCTAAGCGACTACAAAACCACTGATTTGCAGAGGTGCGCACACACAGCGTTACTCACATCTGCATTTTATTGCTTTTTTATTCTATTACATAAAATAACACCCCCTGTTCTGTGAGCTGCCAACCCTTGGCATTTTGTCTCCCTTCCTTCTTCCTGCTCTCGCTTGCAGAAGAGCAAGAACACAAAACTAGCCTTTGATAAGTTACGTACAACTGAACCTTGCAATGCTGACCCAAACCTCTTGCAAGAGAAACAAGAGCTCATTTGTAAGCCACCTGAAGATGAGAGCTCTTTATAGAACTCAATCCCTCCTCCAAACCACAACTCAACAAGAATCAACCAGACAATGGCAGTACCTTGCGCATTCTTCCCGAGACCTTTTCCCGGAACATAGCCCATCTTCTGGAGGAGCTTCTGCCCGATGCCCTTGGTGTGTCTCTCCCAGCTGCCAAAGTCCATGAAAGGTTTTGTGCCCCCTACGAAGCCTTTCTGACTAGGCTTGAAATTACCACCCTATTAAAACACACAAACAGAACACAGAAGATGTTTGAGGAGCTGCAATGTCTCTCTTGGAGAGACAGAACTCCCCAGCAGCGATTTATGTGCCAGCACAGCGCGCTGCTGCTTCCCCTGCTCACTGCATCAGGGAGCCACATCTGTGCCCACGGAAGCTGCCTGCCATGCAGGAACCCACTCGAGCTGCTAGTTATCAGGCTCTGTCACTGTTAGCTGGAGCTGTTTCCTGAGCCTTACTGAATCTGAGAGTTGAAGATGAGTACTTTATTGTTTTAATCTGTGAGACACTCAGATCACTCATATCGTTCAGTGAGATTAAAAAAGATTTGGAATTTTGGTTGTCCAGAGAAAGGAACTGTGCATCATATGGAAATGGGCGTTCTTTTAGTTTAACCTCAGCTAACCAAAGAATTATTTAGGAAGACAAAGAGCCCACAAGGGAGTGATTTTCCCAAGGGCACGCAACATTACATCAGAATAACTGTGAGCAGAGAGAAAACCTCTCCCTTAATGAAAGACCTAATGTTGTGGTTCCCTGGTTTTAGTTATTTCTCTTTCCTTGGTGCCCCCTCATTGTTCCATGAGCCCTTCAGCTCCCCAACCACACCACGCAGAGCTGCGAGCACCGCGGGCCACGCACCGTCTTGAGCTTCTTCGACACGAACTCCTTGGGCACCTCCTCCTGCTTGGCCGGCCTCTCGTCCTCCTCAGAGTCCTCCTCAGACCCATCCTCCGCCGCCGCCTTCTTCAGCCCGGCGCTGATGAAGTTCACGGGGGCCGAGTAATCCCTGGAGCTGCACCGGGACCGCGCGGGGGGCGCTCAGCGAACGGCACCGGGACCGGGGAGCCCCGGGGCCGGCCCCCATGGCCGGGACCCCCCCCCCCTCATCCCGCCTCCCCCCCCCCCCCGTACCGCTTCCCGCCGAAGCTGGGCCTCTCCTCGTCCGAGTCGCGCTCTGCCCACACGCCGTACGTGGCCTCCTCCTTGCTGGGCCGGTGCCGCGCGCGGTGCGGGTTGAACTCGTTGTGCAGGTCCCACTCCGACACCTCGAAGCGCTCCAGCTCCACCCCATCCTCCGCGCCGTACAGGTGCGACATGGACATGGCGCCGCGACCCCCCCGGGCCCCCTCCCCAGGCCCGGCCCCGCCGCCCCCCGCCCGCTCCCGGTGCCGCCCCCGCCGCTGCCGCCTCAGCCGCCGGTAACCGGAAGCCGGAAGTCGGAAGTCGCGCCGTCCTCTTCCGGTACCGCCCCCCCACCATAGAGACGCCGCCCGGAAGGAGCGGCCGCTCTCGCGCCCCCTGCGGGCGGGGCCAGCCGCGGGTCCTCCCGGGGCGGGGTCGCCCCTTATTAACGCGTGCCTCAATTAGTGATTAATGAACACAAGCACAGCCCGCACAGGGCCGCGTGTAGTAACACAGCATATATTAATTGACTCTTAAATACAGTCTGTACACGGCGGGGGCGCGGCAGCCGCCCTTACGGCCTGCCCCGAATGGGCCCGGCACCGGCACCGGGGGTCCCGGGGGGTCCCAGGGGGGTCCCGGGGGGGTCCCGGGGCCGGGGCCGGGGCAGCGCCGCCAGCACCCGGCCGGCCTCGCCTCCTGCCAGCCTCCTGCCCGCCTCCCGGCGCTGTCCGCAGCAACCTGCAAGAGAGAAGGGCAGCGGGGTCGGGGGGCGGCCCTGGGGCACCCCCCGGTGTTGGGGAGCGGCCCCGGGGTGCCCCCAGCACGGCCCTCACAGCACCGGAACCCCCTCGAGCTGTCCCCACACAGCAGCCCCTCAGGAGCACCGAGCTCCCGCTCAGGGCACGCGGCTGCTCCCACCCCGGGCTCCTGAGTTTATTTTGTATTTTTTTGGCCAGAGACTGCTTTGAAATGGAGAGTTCTAAGTGTATATTTGCAAAGTTCTAAGAGTAAATTTAGGCAAAAAAAGTGCTGTTTGTGTCTTAGCACAGAGGCTGCCTGAAAAGAGACAAAGGCATCCGACCACTGACAGCCACTATTGAAGTCAGGGGGAGCAGCCCGGGGCTGCCGAGCTGACAGCAGCCGGGACGGCCTTCACCTTCCTCCCCATGACTCAGCACCCCTACAGCTCCTCATAGCCCCCCACAGCCCCGTGCAGCCCCCCACGGCTCCCCCGCAGCCCCCCACTCCTACACCTTCCCTCCACAGCCCCCCCTTCCCACAGCCCCGCTCCGTGTTCCCCGCAGGGTGCTCAGTAATAACGCTCCCAGGTGGATGATTTCAGTTCTGCTGGTGAGCCTCTTGCAGAGCTCAGGGGAAAAATATAAAGTCCTGACAAATCACCTCACGTAACAGTATTGCCCTGAAAACTTAAAGCGACTGTGAAAGAGATCCTGGGCATGGCGAGCGTGCCTGGAGCAGCCTGGCTGATCCACGGGCTCAAGAAATTAAACCAGCAAAATGCCAGCCCTGGAGCAATGCGGGCAGGTTGCATGGTCCCGCATTAAACTACAAGCTCTTACCTGGAAATCGTTAATTTTATTAGTGAGAAGATGACGTGTTCTGCATCACCTAGAACAACCAAGAAACAGAAGATCAGTTTTAAGTCACCACCTGCACTTCCAAGCATCCCCAATGCGCTCCCTGTATCGGGAAAGGGAAGCGGCCAGGACAAAACGGTGCCACGGTGCAGAACCAGGAGGCACGAGACTGGGCCAGGGGCTGCAGCTTCTCGCTTCCCTCCTGTACGTGCACCGCGAACCACACGGGGTGGCTGCTCAGGAACTGCAAGTGACACCTCCTGCAGCGAATATACACGTGTGCTTGCTCCCCCAGCAGCCCCGTTTCCTCTCTTTGGGGTTTGGCTGTGTGTTTGCACACACAGTGGCAATGCAGATCAGTCTGATTGCGTAAGGCGTCCCCACGCTGAACAGGTCCAACTGGCACCTTTGGTCAAAACATCTGTGTGACTCCACACCAACACACCACACCTCCCGTGCAGGCAGGCAGTGCCTTCTGCAGAGTCAAGAGTCAGGTATTTTATTTTTAAGTCTGTGTGTGCTGGCTGTTGCACAGCTCTGCATTGTAAAAGATGGTCATCAGCTGCCCTCAGACACCGCTCTACAGGGAGGGAGCCATGCAGCGTATGTTTGACACCGGAATACAATCACACAGGTACAGGAACCAGAAGACCCACCTCTATCCTGAAATCAGATAAGCATTCCTTCCCTAAACATGGCAAGACCCAGGACAATGAAAAAAATGAGTTTCAGGACAGAAGCAAGGTGGAAGTGTCTCAAAGAGAATGAAGAACTCGAGTTTGAGGAGTGAGCGCAGAGCTGTACAGCAATAACCCACACACAAGAGCAGAACAGAAAGCGCTGACGGGTGAAGGAGCAGGCTCTGAGCAGCACAGAACACCATCGGGATTTGTGACTGAGGCAGGATGTCAAAATAAAGCTGGGAGGATGGAGCAGGAAGGACAGGAACAACAGAGCAGCACCAGGAGCGATACCCCAGCTGGGCTGCCCAGCCTGCGAACGCCCATCAGAGGGAGCAAGGGACCAGGCAGCCAGGGCGAAGTGCTCAGCTGTGACACGGGACGTACCTGCAGGTGACCTTTCAAGTTGGCTGGCGTTTTATATTCCCCTTTTAAAACCTATGGGAAAGAAAAAAATTACTGACCACTTCTTGGACAGCGACTGTACGAGCATCAAGTCCACCCTGCAAGCTGCTGTGTGGCCGGGCACGTGTGGGTGTCCAGGTAGGACCGGTCACCCCACAGCCTGAGAAATTCCCTCTCCAGTAACTGCTGTCTGCGGCTCGGCAGCTCCTTCCTCCCCGTTCTGATCCAGACACGAGTCAATATTCTAAAAAAAATTCTTCTGGTTTTGCCCAAAGACACTGTGAGCCTCCCGTCACTTTCCTCGTGGGACTGGCTGGCGAGCTCCCCGCAGACACAGCACAGCCCGAGCCTTCTCGAGGGGCCAGACCAGAGTGCCTAGTGCCACCCCCCCATCCCAATAACGTCGCCATACACCACCAACCCCACAGCTGGGGTCAGGACCGGGGCTGGAGCAGGGAGGGACAGGTCAGTATCTGCCACAACAGAGGAATGAACCCCACCACAAAATCACAGGGAGCGCAGCCGGCCCGAGCCACGCCAGGCTCCGTGCACCGCGTGTAACTGCGAGCCTCCTCGGTGTCACTGCACTGCGACCACACGGAGCAGAGCTTCGTGTCTCCACTCTTTTTTTTTGACTCTCTTCAGGAGGCTGTGTGGGTGCAGAGCCCTGAGGTCCACCGCCACGAGCCCTCCCCGCCAGCGCCCGGCCGTGCTCCCGGCGGTGACACTCACTCTGTGCGTGTTGTTGACCACCAGCGGGTCCGGGTGGCCGTAGTGGGGCGGGTTGGCGTACGGGTCGTAGCCCAGCCTGGCGAGCATGGGAGCTATGTGGGCCATGTCCTGCAGCACGTCCCCCGGGATGTGCCCGATCCATTTCGATAACGCCTCCATGTTCACCGGCTTGATGACCTGGTCCGTGGATCTTTCTATCCTGGAAGAAAATAAAGAAGAAGGTAAAACAAGGCACTAAAGCTGCTGTTGGGTATCGCAGACACGCCGGGCTGATGGAAGAGCCTTCAGCTGGGCCAGCTGCCAGCTGCACATTTTGCTGTCAGGACAAGCGTGCGGCTCAAATGCTGCTCTGCTCCTGCTGTGAGTGCAGGGAGAGCCCCCACGAGCACCGTGGCCCCACACAAGCCGCTCGCCCTGCGATCGAACCTGGCCACTACACCCAGCAGGACCAGCTCCAACAAGCAAAGCCAGCCACGGCGCCCTGCTGTGCTGCAGACACCGCTCCCCTCCCGCCCTGCCCTGCGTGGGGAGGACAGGACACCCACCCCAGCCCAGCCCAGCTGCAGCCCAGGGAAGGCACACCCGGCCCCGCAGAGGCAGTGCTGTGTGCTGGAACGGGTCAACCTGCACAGCGGCTGCAGCCCTGAGCCTCGGGGCTGCCACCCAGGTGGCAAGGCACACGAGGCACACGAGGCACACGCAGTGCCACAGCCCCGCTGGCAGCAGCATTTCCACCCCCACGCTGTCCCCGAGGAGAGGAGCGGCCCCGTGCCCCGCTGCAGCTCCCCGCAGCACTGCTCGGGGTGCATCGGGCTGCTGCAGGCCAGAGGAATTTATACAGAGCCCGCTTGGATGGTTCCCATAAACGGTGAGTACATCTTGCTAAGGCAGGCTTCAGCTTCCCTGAGGAAAGGAAGAGCGTTAAAAGACCCGAAGAAGGTGGGCGAAGGCAGGCACAGAGATGGGGAGCCAGCGAGGAGGGGCCTGGGTGTGTCTCCACGGGAGGAGAGCATTCGTTGTGTCCTGCACCACCAGCACCGGCGGGATTACGGCACAGCACGGCGTGAGTCACAGCAGCACAACTGCAATCACGGCAGGGAGGGTTGAGGATGGGTGGAGAAAAGCCACGTTACAGAGCTCGTTTCTGAGCAAGCAGGTCTTTTCGGATTAAAGATCGATGTCACTCCTGCACTGCCAAGGAAGCTGAATAAAAGCCACCCGCTCCTACAATCCCCGCCTGGCAGGCTGCTCTCTGGGGTACAACAGGCTGCCACCATCGAGTCCTTTACTCAGAAACACAAATCTATAAAACTGGAGGTGCTGCAGCTCCCACCCCTAAAAAGCACACACAGACACAGGGAATGGATCTTTGCCCCCCAGTTTTAGCTCTGTGTAACGAAATACCCCTCGGGAAGCAGAGACCAGGGCCCAGACACTCACTTGGACAGGGACACTCCGCCGGGCTTCCCTATCAGCTCCTCGTGGTGCAGCACGGCGTCGCTCCAGGAGATGTCCAGGAACTTCATGATGGCGTGCATGGACTGCTCGGGGTGCAGCACCAGCTGCTCGTAGTAGACGGGCAGGCAGCGGGAGCGCCCGATCTCCAGGCACTGGGAGTACATCACCTCGATGGCTTTGTTCCACTTGGTCAGGCAGTCCCGGTAGCTGTTCAGGTCAAAGCCCGCGATCGTCACCTTCCGGGTGATCATGGAGTGCACCGAGGCGCGGCCGTCTCGCACCATCAGGAGGAACTTGGAATTGGGGAAGAGCCGGGACAGGTAGACGGAGGACTTGAGCGTGAAGGGGTCCTTGTTGCACAGATACCTGGCCGGCTCGCCGTGCTTGGCGATCACCTCCAGGATGAAGGCCTGCATGGCCGCGTCCAGCACCTGGTCCGTCACCCCCGCCTCGTCCAGGCGCATCTTCTCGCGGCCCGACTTGGACCATGCCTGCCGCATCGCCAGCACGCGGGGGATGATGCGGGTCTCCTCCCCGCAGCGCACCTCGGGGTGGGCGTCCAGCATGGCCCTCATCAGCGTGGTGCCGCTCCGGGGGACGCCGCCGATGAAGATCAGGGGCATCTCCTTGCTGTAGCGGTACTCCACGTGGTTGGAGTCCATCATGACCAGCTCCTCGTTCTCCGGCCTCATCAGCCGGTGCCTCCTCTTGTTCAGGACCTGCTGGCACTCCAGGACCTGCTGGCCAAGGTGCAGAGTCACCACCAGGGCGACCACCGAGCCCACGGCCAGCAGCACCCGCCTCATGGTCACCCGCATCCTGCTGCGCTCCGCATGGGCTGCAGACCGACAGGCCACCAGGCTTCAGCTTGCGGCTAGCGAGCGTCCGGCCCCGCGGGCATCTGCAAGAGAAAGACAGAGCCGCCGGTGAGCAGGGCTCCTCGGGACGCCCGCGCCACCCCCCAGCTTTCATCAGCCCTTACCTATCAGCACGTCTCAGGGTAGGTGTCTTCTACCCAGCACGTAATTAAAGCGCGCCTGAGAGCACGCCCAAAGAGATTACCCGACTGTTTTCTGTACCCAGAACCTCGGGTTTGTGGCTGGAGCAAAGCTCCATGGACGTTTTGGAGAGGGGAGGCCACCACTCGCCCAGCTCTCACAGAACTGTTTCCTTGAGGCACCGACCGGCTTTGCCCTCATCCAGTTACTCCTTTGGATCGAGCGTGTGTTAGGTTAGGAGAAAAATCTCCGGCTTTACTTCCACCAACAGGGTAAGGCACCATTACAGAGCCTGCTCCATCCCACACAGACCCCGAGGCTCCCGCCCTTCTCCTTCCTTCCAGCACGGGTTCCCTGCACCCAGCACACCTCCTTGCTCTCCCTCCCGCCAGCCACCTGCCTCCTTCCCACACCGGCTTTAGTTGTACGCGTGCTGCCATAGGGGAGGGAGAAGGCTGAAATAAAGAGAAAACCAAAAGCATCTCATGCAAATCTGAAGCGCCTGACTCAGAAGAAGCAATTACCCATAGAGCGAAACCAGCTGAGAAATTAAACCAATTTCAGGGTAACGCGCCAGTAACGGCAACGCGCGGTCTGTGTTGGACACCTGCACCCCAGGCTGACCTCAGTAACGTCCCCGGAGCCGTGCCGTGGTCCCAGGCCAGGTGTCTGCTCCACGGGACGTGCTGGCAGCAGGCTGCCCGTCCCCGCGGCGGCTCCCAGGAGAGCTGGCACCGTCCCCCGCCCGCCCCCTTCTCCCTCCCTCTGCCAGCGCAGGTTTTGCAATCCTCCCGGGGTCACGCAGGGATTTCGAGTCCTTTGTGCTTACACGGCCTGGGCGGGAGCTGAGGCCAGGGGCGTCCACGCGCTGCAGCTCCCCAACAAGCATTGGAACGGCCTCGGGAAGGCGGCCTCCCTGCTGCAACCCTCCTGCAAGCGCCCGGCTAGGAGAGGGGCAGCCAGCAGAGCCTGCCCGGCACGGTGCCTGTCCCCATGGCACGGTGCCTGTCCCCATGGCACGGCGCCTGTCCCCATGGCACGGCGCCTGGTGGCACCGTGCCCTCCCCATCCCCATCCCTCCCCTGCCTGATGCTCCCAGGGCACCTCTCCAAGGCCCGGCCTCGCAGCACCAGCTGCCCTGCTGGTTCCCGGCTGCACTTGCACAGCACCAGGGCCGGACCCAGCGAGGCAGCGCCCGTCTGCCCGGCCAGGTAGGAGCCTTCCCACCCCGGGACCATCTGTGTGGCCGTGCCGCTGCCTGTGCTGCCTGCTGTGAGCGTACCGAGGGTCGGCAGTGCCAGGCGCACGGCTGCACCGTGTGAGTGTCAGGAAGCCCAACGTGGGCACGTTGGCTCAGGCCACAAGTCGCAGGGGGCACCAAGCAGCTCCCTGGCATTCAGTCAGCACCACGGCACTGCCCGCTCCGCCCTGCTACCTCGAGCTGCTTCAGTCATGTAAATGAATTCAAATGCTCACCCTAAAAATAATTGCTGAAGGCCGCAGAACCCATTGCAATGCACTGCAGCTGGAGCACTCGGGATTCAAGGCCAACTGGAATAATTAGCGCTGTGCAGAAAGACAGGCTAATTAGCAGGAGAGATCAGCAGTGCACAAGGAGGCCGGGAGCACAGAGGTGCTCTGTTCTTTGCGGGCTTACAGGGAGCATTTCCCACCACCCTGCTCCCTGGCACAAAGGAATTCCCTCATTTTGCTGTGCAGGGGGCAGGCTGGCTGCGAGTCTGCCCGCACCATCCCTCGGCTCCAGGGAACCTGTGTGGGGGCTCCCCCTGCCTGCCCCTGGCTCCCCATGGGGGCACGCGGGGACAGCAGGGACAGCGGGGAGCAGGACAGGGCTGTGCCCGGCTGCAGGCAGCTCAAGGCTCTGCAGAAAGCCGAGGGAGAGGGAAGCAGCGGGCTGGTGGGGAAGTGACAGCAAAGCGGTGACCACCAAGGACACCAGAGGCCCCGTAGGCAAAGCGCCTTCCATATTTTGCATGCTGCTGAGCCATCAATAAGGCTTAAAGCATTCCCCGTGAGCTGCTGCAAGCAATAAAATATTAACGGAGCATCAGCGAAGGTGTGGGCAGCCGCATGAAATATTCAGCACTCCCCTGCTGGGACCACAGGGGAATCAAGCGCTCTGCCAAGAGCTCTCCACGCGGGCTTACCTTCTCCCCGTGTGCTCATCTTGCTGCTAGCCGAGTGTCACGCCGATACACCCCCAGGTGGCTGCAAAAATACCTAATGGGGAAGAAAAACACAGGGCCGATTTGTTTGTTGGTCTCAGATAGGTACAAGCGTGGTTACAAGCACTGCTCTTCCTCCTTGGCACCGTCCCCTCCGCACGCACGCCTCCTGCCCAAAACCTCCCTCCAAGCCCCAGGAGAGCTGGCCCGGATCCCTGGGGACAGCTCTGGCCGCCACGCACAGCAGGGCCGGGGTGCGGGCACCTCGGTGGCCCTCGTCCTGCCCAGCTGCGTTTTGGTGCTGGCAGAGCTGGGCCAGCACAGGGAGGAGAGGGGCGGCAGGACGGTGGCTGCTCCGCGCAGGAAACCCAGTGCCCTGGCCGGGAGAAGCCGCAGAGGAGCAGAAGCAGCTGCAGGATCTAAAAGCAGGGCCCAGCCGCCCGGACATGGCACGGTTCCACTGCACACAAGTGGCCGGAGCAGCACGGCCCGTCCCAGAGGAAGCAGCTTCAGACTCGCTCACCGCAGCCTTTGTTACAAACGCTGGAACCAGACAGGAGCCAGAACAGCGCCCAAGCTCCCCAAGCAGCAAGAGCCAAGGGAGCCCAGGGGACACCTCGCACCCAGGCCCTGAAACTCGACGCTCCCAGCAAGGCCACGGGGACGCAGAGCTCAGGACCAGAGCAATGCCACGGAGCTGTGTGAAGCTGAGATCCCTCCGGTGCTGGCTCAAGGCTGAGGGCCAGCCCCAGCCCTGCCGTGGTGCTCCCGGCCGCCCGACGCAGCTCCAGCTCTTGGTGGCTGCAGGACCCAACCCGCCGGGTGCCCCCGAGGACACGGCGCTGCCCGTGCCCACCTGTGAGCCCTGGAGCAGCCCCACAGCCCTCCTGCACTCAGCTCCCCCCCGTGCGACGCTGTCCCAGCCCTGGAGGATGTCTGTGAGCACATCTGAAGCGCAGACGCTGATTGTTGTTCCAGCTCCCCGAGAGTCTCCTCCTCTCCTGCCCAGACGCCTTCGAACGTCACCGGCCCCTCTCGAATTAGTGTTCCTTAGCACTAATTAGGAACAAGAGGGAAACTCCACCCGGCAGGGACGTCGCAGCGGGGCAGAGCCCAGCACATGCATCGCCCTCCTTCCCCACAGTGTCCCCCCCACCGCCCACAGGACTCCAGGTCTGGACGAGGCTGCAGGGCTGCGCGGCACCAGCCGCATCCCCGGGTGCAGCCCTGCAGCCCCACGAGCTGCCTGGTGCACGCGGCAGCGGTTTAACAGCCGCCCCGCTCCGGAAACCCTCCGGCTCTTGCCCTCGCACACACGCTCGCACACGCTTGCAGACTTCCTTCCTGCACCTCCTGCTGCAGGCTCAGCGCGCCCAGGCTCCCGCAGCGCCCCTACGGCACCCTGTAGCCTGTGGAGAAGGGGCGAGTGCCGGAGGGGTCCCACACAGCTCCGGGGGGACACACAGCTCCCAGGGGACACACAGCTCCGGGGGGATGCACTGTGTGTGGGGTGCGATAGCAGCCACTCGTGCTGCTGAAGGCACGGCTGGCGGGCAAGACACCACGCTGCAGCCCCGTGCAACACAAATGGCACAGCTCAACCGCGCTGCCCATCACCAGGCCCTGCACCACGGGGCTGTGCTGTGCCTGGGGGTGCTTCTGCACCGATGAACTCCCCACACACACGGTGCAGAGCTCACGCAGCCCACCACCAAGCAGTGTTGGAGCAGGACGTGCAGCCCCCCAGCAGCAGCTCGCCCAGGGATGGCCGCATCCCAAGCGCAGGCGATCGGCAGCGAAGCGATGTGATGGGGACATTGTGCAGAGCAGGGATGGGTTACAGACAACAAGCACCGTTTCTACAAGAAGCGTAATGTGATCAAAAAATGCCTTTTCTTTTAAATCATTCCCAGAAATGGTTGCTTGTCTTTGCAGCCTCCCCAAAAGCCTGAGGTGGGGCATGGAAAAATTTAGCTCAAATCCTTGGTGCTTAATAAGGGATGAGGAACTGCGAGCGTCCTCGCGGTGCAACAGCAGCTGTGGTCAGCAAAAACACACTAATGCATCTAACCGGCATCTTTGCAAATCAGCAAAGCTTAATTGCTTAATTGATAGCCTTCAATTAATTCGCAGGCTGTGTGCAGTGCAGGAACACCCTCGGTGCCGCACCCCGGGCCCGGCCGACAAAGCGTGGCAGCGCCCAGCTCCCGCGGCACAGCGGGGCCAGGCGGTGGGAAAAGGGCTCGGACGTGCGTGGGGTTATGCTGCTGAAGGGTACCGACAGTGTTCAAATTGAAAAAAAACAGAAAGAGAAAAAAAAAGAGTTGCTTTCAAGGCACCACGTGACGAGAGCAGCAGTGCCGAGAGCAGGGCGTTTTTGCTTACTAAGGCTGGGGATGTGCTGAAGGCCACAAAGCCAGGAGCATCTACAGCAACCAGAAGCCAACCCCACTAAAAATACACGGATTTTAGGCCACTTTGGGGTTATGGATCCCTTTGAAAATCCCCAAATAGAACAGAGAGCGCTGTGGCTTGCATTGCAGCACCACCACCCCGGGCACAGCGGTGAGAGCAGCGCGGGGACGGAGCGCAGGCACCCCCTGCAGCTCCCCCACCTGCGCCAGCCCCCGCGGATCCTGCCCATGTTCCCCTCAATTAAAAGCACCAACATTGATGTGCCGGCCAAACCCCCAGCGAGGACCCCGGCCCTGCAACCCCACTGATGACAGGCACCCGTTTGCCTCAGGCGCTGACGCCGCCAGCAGCTGGGCTCGGGGAAAAGGAAGGAAAACGGCCCCAAACGTGCTGCGGTGGCGATGGGGACCCGAGAGCCACCTGCCCACCGCCAGGGCCTGCAGGCAGCAGGGAAGCAAGGCCCAGCCCCGTGTGCTGCTCCCAGGGCTCTCCTCCAAACGGGGAGGGCAGCAGGGCCAGGAGCAGGGCTTGTGGGGGAGACCCACGCCGCCAGGAGCCCCCCTGGCCCAGCAGCCCTACGCCCCTTGGCGTGCCGGGCGCTGCCCTCGGCTGTCCCGGAGACGGCAGATTTCTGGCTAGCGCAGGGGAAGTGGCTGTTACCACATCTCATTTCACAACACTCGCTGCTTCAGGGACAGCAGGGAGGAAAGCTCTCCTGCTCAGCACCACGCACCAGGGCTGGCGAGCAGGAGCCCCGTGCAGACCCCCGTGCGGTGACGGACGTGGCCCCCAGGCAAAGCGCAGCCACCGGCCCTCGCCAGGGAGCATCCGCGGTGCACGAAACCAGGGCAGCAGCTGGGAGCCTCAGAGGGACCTTCCTGACGGTTAATCAATCCACAGCTCCCATTCACAGCTCCTCCGTGCCCACGGCTGTAATTACAGTGTGGTTATTCCCACGGGGGGCAAAGCCAAAGCCCCACAGGCACCCCAGAGGATGGGCACTGAGAGCTCACGGACCGGCACCTCCGCTGCTCCTGCTTCGCCCCCACACTCGCCCCTGGGGCTGCTGACACGAGCAGGAGCAGGAGCAGGGCCCAGGGCAGCACAGTTCACGTGCAGATATTATTCCTCTGCCTGTCCTGGCGGGCTGTGCAAGTGAAACCAAAATCGCCGCAGGTTTTCCTGCAGCGAGGTGCAGAGGGACCAGCGAGGGGAGAGTCCTGCAGCCGAGGGCAGGGGTGTGCACGTCCAGGCACCAGCCTCGCTGCAAACCTGGCTCCGCACTCCCAGCGCTGAACAAAACATTCCCCACAAGTGTGGGTGGTCAGAGCCTGCCATGCAACAGGGAGAGAAAGAAATCAAAGGAGCTGCTAGAAAAAATACCGAGCATCTTCAAAAAAATATTTTCCAAGTCCCCGTGCCAAGCCGTCAGTCTTAACGAGCTCCATTCCTGCACGCACAAAGATCAGGATCTGCAAAGTAAAGGTTGTTTCTACAAGAGAAACCCCAAAACCTCAAATTTGCTTAAGAAACAAAATCAAAATATTTTATTTCCCTATGAAGCAACACCAGCCATCCCCAGCCCCGAAGGCACCGAAGGAGGAAGGTGCGGGCAGGGGGCACCGGCTGCAGCCTGGCCCCGACCCCAGCCCCGTGGGGGTGCGCAGCCCCCCTCGCACAGCCACAGCGCCCCGGTGCCACCCAGCAGCTCGTGCAACACCCAGAGCCCGGGCAAATATTTTATGCCAAGGCACGGCCCAGGAGGGGCTCGTCTCGTGGCACCGTCGATGGATGAAAATGGAAAGGGCCCTTCTGGGATGGCCGCCCCGTGCTGCCAGCAGAAGCAGGACAAAACCCAGAGCCTGCCCCATGCAGCTCAGGGCTGCAGCCCCCAGGCCCAAAGCGAAGGGCTGGGGGTGGCTGCAGGGCAAGCACCCAGGCGCTGGGTGGGAAGCAGCCCTCCCCCTGCCAAGGCAGGAAGGAGGCTGAGGCTTGCTGCGAGCATCACAGATTCGTCAGGAGGCATCAGCGCAAAACCACCTGCTGGGGGCTGCCTCCTTTCCCCAGAAATGTTCCTGCCAGGCTCCGCGCTTCGCAGAGCTCCCGCGTCCCACACATCCCTACAGGCTCAGCACATCTGCACCGCAAACCGCCTTGGGGATCAGGGGATCGGCTGCTTCACACGGCAGCAGGAGTCACTAACACGGTGTGAGACCTGCAGGCAGCAGCAGCCCCACGGCCCTTCTGGGGGGCACGCAGCGACTGCACCCAGGGACCCCATAAGAGCTCCCAGTGCTCCCACTGCTCCCAGTGCCGTGCTCAGCCCCGAGCTGTCCCCGGGTACATATTGGGGCACCGCTGGCTCAGCACAAGCCCCTGGTGCTCAGCAGCTCTGGATGCAGCCCAGCTCCCCCCCCCATCTGGAGCTGCAGGGAGGGACGGGGCAGGGGCACACACCCAGCACCGTGCAGGGGGCAGCGATGCCTGGGCAGCACGGCGGGCACAGGGCACTGGTGCTGGCATCACACCTCCGACCAATGAGCCATAAAACCCCATAAACCCCATAAATCCCATGAAGCCCCGAGGCCTGCAGGTTTGCTCGTGCAGGTGCTGCGATGCCGCGGGGAGGGCTGCGGGCAGCACCCGGTCCACAGCTCCACGGGGAGCGGGCACAGAGCTCCGGGAGGGACCCGCGGCCAGCCCACCGGTCCCCTCCCCAGCCCCTGCCTGCCTGCGGCTCGCACCCAGCCCCCGGGGGGGGGCACGGCCGAGGGGCAGCCGGGCCCGGTGCGCGGTGCGGGGGGGTTGGGGCTGGGGGGGGGCTGTGGGGCAGTGCGCGCCCGGTGCGCACCGTCCCCATCCCGTCCCCATCCCGTCCCCGTCCCGCTCCCCGGGGCTGTGCCGGCGGCAGGGGGACGCGGTGCGGGCAGGGCGCTACCGGCAGCGCGGGGCTCCGGGACGGGGCTGCTCGGGGCTGCGCTGCCCGGCCCGGTGCGGGCTGCCGGGGGCACCGGGTACCGGGCACCGGGCACCGGGCACCGGGTACCGGGTACCGGGCACCGGGTACCGCGCACGGCCGCGCCCCGCCCCCGCCGCCGCCGCCCGCTCGGTGCCCGCCGCCCCCCCCCCACCCCCCGCACTCACCGCTCCCGCTGCCGTTCCCGTGCCCGGTGCCGGTGCCGCCGGCGGGGACGCGGCGACGTCACGCGCACGAGGGGCCGGGATCCCCGCGCCGCCCCGCTGCGCATGCGTCCTGCGGCGGGGGGGGCGCGGGAACGGGCACGGGGCGGGCACCGGCACCGGCACCGGGTGCGGGCAGGGGAACGGGCACGGGAACGGGAACGGGTATGGGTATGGGTATGGGTACGGGCACCGGTACCGGCACCGGCTGCTGGCCCGGCCCCGCCGTTCGCCCCCCCGCGCCGTGCCCGTGCTCCCCGGGGGGCGCTTGTGCCCCGCGTGTGTGCGTGCAAACGGCGCGCACCAACGGCGCGGGGGCGGCACCCAGCCCCCAGCACCCAGCACCCAGCACCCAGCCCCCAGCACCCAGCACCCAGCACCCAGCATCTCCCAGCGCCCCCCCGCAGCTGGCAGCACCACCGGCACCGTCTCACTCTTTATTTCCCCCCGGGGCAGGCTCCGCTCAGCACCGCGCGGGGGGGCCGGGGGGGCCGGGGCCGCCCGTGGTGGGGGCGCTCAGTCGGAGGGGGCGTTGGGGTCGGGGCGGGCGCCCCGCTGCTCCCACTGCATGTCCCTGACGCGCCGGATGGACTGCAGCTGCGGCTGGAAGGCGCACCAGTCGTTCCAGTGCCTGAAGTCCCCGGTCTCAAAGAGGTACTGGTAGCCCCGGTACCCCGGGTACTGGTACCCGACCCAGCTGCGGGGAGAGCACACGGGTGTGAGCTGCCGAGCTGTGAACCCACCCAAAAACATCCCCACCACGGAACCCTGCCCGGGGTCCCCGCTGCCCGGCTGTGCCCCGCTGCCTGCGGGACACCCCCTGCACCCAGGAGGCAGCACGCGGAGCCCCCCACAGTGCAGGGAGCTGGGGGGGCTGCAGCCCGGCTTACGTTCCACTGGGCACCTTCACGCTGCCCACGCGGTCGCAGAAGCCGTAAGCCCAGAGGCTGGGCACGTCGTCCTCCTGGATGTCCATCTTGTTGCCCTTGAAGTCAGCAGACTCGTACAGGGAGATTTTGTGGTCCTCAGCCTCCTGGGGAGGACAGCGGGGAGGCGCTGGGCTGGGCGGATGGCACTCGCAGTGACCGGGCACCGCGCGGCACGGACACAGCCCCAGCCCCAGCCGGAGACACCTCCTTCCCCCGCCACTCACCATCCTGATGGGACGCATGGACATGAAGCAGTCGCTCCGGTAGCTGCTGGACCAGGTGTCCCAGCGAGGGTACTCGCCCTTCTCCAGGACAAACATCTCCCCGCGCATGTTGGCTTGCTCGTAGGCCACCCAGCTGGGGAGAGGGGCAGGGTGGCACGAGGGGTCAGGCTCCTCTCCTGCTCCACCAGCCCGCGGGGCGGCCGAGCTGGGCTCCCAGCACCCAAAATATCCATGGGTGCCAGGACCGAGCCCACTGCCCTGTGCCTGCCTTTCTCCCAGCCCGTGTGGGGGCAGGAGCTCACACATCCCCGGGCACAGCGACCGCTGCTCGGCCCCAGCAGCCAACCCCACACCCACCGCCCTTGTCACCGGGGGGGGACAGGCGCTGTGCCCAGCTGCAGGAGATGCCCACGCATCACCCCTCAGCCACGGCGTCCCCACGGGCACGGCTCCCTCCAGGGCAGGGTCACTCACGGGCCGGAGCTGACAATGACGCTGCGCACCCGCTCGAAGCCGCAGTCGGCCAGGTTCAGGCACTCGGCGGTGAACTCCATCTGCCTGCCCTGGAAGTTCTCCTGCTCGAAGACGATGATCTGGGGGCAGAGGGAAGGGCTCGGGCAGGGCATGGGGCCGCGTGTCCCGGCACACCGAGGTCCCCCCCGACAGCCGCTCCCTGCTCTGGGTGCCGTGGCCACGCCGGGGGTCCCCGTGCTGGTGCCCCCGCAGTGGGTACAGCAGGGTCGGGATGGAGCTGTGGGGCCAGGAGCTGTACCTGCACTGTGCCCCCTGTGCCTGGCACCGTGGAGCTGTCACGGGGTACCCTCACGGCTCACCCCTCGTCTCCAGCCCCGATGCAGCTCCCCAGCAGCACCGCGGCCTTTTGGTGCTGTCCCCATCACCCCGGCAGCACCGCGGGGCTCCCTGTGCTCAGCTCCTGCCCCCCTCACAGGGCTCCTCGGGGCTATGGTGGCCTTGTGGCAGCACCCAGCCCCGAAGCTGGGGTGTGGGGAGAGCAATTCCAAGATCTGCACTCTCAGACAAGATGTCCTGGCCGAGGGGAACCGGGAGCATCCTGCGTGGCAAACCCACATCGTACCCGGTGCTGCAGCAGCTCCCTGAGTCCTCTGCCCCGAGAGCTGCTGCCAGGCAGGGCCAGCACCGGCCGTGTTCCCCCTGCTGCTGGCGGGGGCTGAGGGTCCGTTCCCCTTGGCCGCCCAGGCTGCCCCTCACCCCGGGACCCCTGTCCCTCCCCGCGGGGATGTGCGGGGCTTACCCGGAAAGCTTCTGCGGCGGGCTCCTCGCCCTTGCTGTTGGTGACGGGTGTGGGGTCGGAGGATGGAGCTTGTGCCTTCTCCTTGTCCTCCGCAGCGGTGGTTTTCAGTGGTCTCAGACATTGTGGTGGTCAGCTCAGGTCTGGGAGCAGAGATGCCAGCCGCAGGTTAGTGGGGGCACGGCCGTGGGACACCCCACCCGGCCCCAGGGATGGTGGCATTGGGGTGGCATTGGGGTGAGGAGGGTCACAGCATGGGGCGAGGAGCTGGGGGTTCCCCAGGCAGGCCGGGCAGAGGCAGCAGGTCCTGCCTGGGCAGCAGGAGGTGGCACTCACCATGCTCCCCTTCTGTGCCCAGGAGAGCCCCCAGCATGGTCTCACTGTGCGGGGGTGCCCCGAGCTCCCCGCTCCCATTCCCTGCCCTCCCCAGGGCCTGATCCTGCACCAGGGCTGTCCCACATGGGTGTGCGTGGGGCAGGCAGGGCGCACCCCCCTTTGTGTGTGGACCTCTTGGGGGCACCCCGATGGTGACACTACTGGTTTAGGGTTATCCAGCAGCCCCTGCAGAGGGCAGATGGGGTGCCGGAGCTCTGTGATGGGCTCGGGGTGCTCCAAGCAGTGGCACGGTGCTGGGCACTGGACGAGCCCCTGTGTTTCTCTCTCCCCCCCTCGGGACCAGCTGGAGCGAGTGCTGCAGCGCGGGCACTTGGTCCTCTTACCTGGGCAGCTGCTGCTTCTTGTTGGAGTGAGCGGGCTTGTGTTTCGGGGTGCAGCGGGGCCCCCACTTTATAGCCTGGCAAGGGCAGGCCCCGGGCGGGCGCACAAAGGAAGTGCGAGCTCATCAGTGTCTGCGCGGCCGCCCCGTCATCACATCCCGCACCTGCGCTGGAAGCCTCTCCCCGGCCCCGTGCCCAGCTGCTGAACCCAGCACTTTCCTTTGTGCCCGCGGCACAACAGAAGGCCTGACCGTGCCACTTTGCAGCGCGCTGGCACCCGTGCGCCCATGCAGGGCATATATAGCCCCCGCGCACGGACCCGCACTGGCACCCGGCTCCAGCAGCGCCACGGCTGGGCATGGTGCACCAGCCCCGTGCCCCACAGCTGGCCCGAAAACAGCCCTACAGCTGCCCCATGCCCACCGCCGGGGGCAGGAGCCCAGCCCGGTGCTGGCACCAAGCTGGGCAGAGCCGGGGATTGCTCCCAGCCCCCCTGTCCGGACCCCCAGCTTTTGGCACAGGGAGAGCTCAGCCCTGGGGGCAGCGCCTGCAGGTTCCCCAGCCTGGCTTTGCATTAACCCTGCCCTGGGTCAGCCCGTCTGCTTTCTCACTTCCCCTCTGACCTCCACTGATCTCGCTTTAAACTTCCCTCCGTACCGCTCAGCACCTGAGTGCTCTGCCCCGAGGATGCCAGGATGCCAGACTTCAGTGCTTCAAAATGCTTCAAGAGTTGTTCCTGAGGTCTTTCCCTGGAGATGTGCAATCAAAGCCGACACTTTCTGAATATCTCAGTCCCTAAAAACAGCCTTCTCCTCTGAGGATGCTCCAGCTGGCCAGTCCCGTGCCATCCCTGCCTGCCAGCCCCAGGCACCCTGGGGAGCCCCCCTGCCCGGCCGAGCAGCTTGCCAGCCGTGGTCCTGGTTCCCGTTTGAACCCCCGGCACTTGTCTCCTCCCTGTTCTGTCAAAGCCTCCAAGGCTCCTGGTGCTGCTGCCGCCGATGCCAGCACTCAGCACGGGCAGCAGTAATGCCCCGAGCAGTGCGCTGAGCGCTGAGCCCTGCGCAGGGGCTGCTGGCACCATCCCCTCCTTCCCCCCGGGGGTGAAGTGTTAACTTGCAGCCACGCGGCTCAGCTGCACCGTCAGGGATGCTTCCCAAAACACCAAGCATTCATCGATCTCTCCTCTCCCTGCAGTTTTATCGACCGCCCGCCGTTCCCGTGGCAGCACGGCCGGGTGCACGCGGTGCTCCCGTACCTCCTGGCACCCCCAGGGGCAGCTCCCTCTCCTCACAGCAGCCAGCTTTCGTGGCTCTCGGCTTTCAATTTGCATTCATTTTCATGTTTGTTAGACGTATTTCTATTTTAAGTTGCATTTGCTGCCTCTCAGAGCCAGGGTGGTTTCTTTTAACCTCTCTGCCTTGCCCATGGCTCCTGAGCACTGATCGGCAGCTCCTGCCCGCCCTGCAGCCCCCGTTCTGCTGCCTCCACTTCTCCCTCCCAGCCCCAGCAGCCTTTGGATGGGGCATTTTGATGCCTGGAGGGGCTGAGCTCTGCTCCTGGGGCTTCCCCACGCTGCTTCAGCTGTGGGGCTCCTTCCAGGTCCCTGAGCACAGAGGCAGCAGACTGCTGCAGGGACCCCAAAATCTTGACCTGTGCCTTTGGACCCCTTCCTGCCCTCAAGGATCTGCCCTCTGCTTTGCTGCGCCCCCGCTCCCTGCTTGTTGTGATGCTCGGGGGCTTTACTTCGTGCTTTTCCTGCAAAGAGCTGCCCTGGCCCCTGGGGAGAGCTGCTCTGCCCCAGCACGGACAGCGAGCTCCTCCACACACAAAGGTTTTGGCCTTCCTCCCTGCACTGCACGTGCCAAACGCCCATGGTGCAGACAGGCAGGGACACCTCTGGTCATGGTCCCAGCAGAGCCTGGAGCAGGGGAAGGGCTCCCCTGGGGAGCAGGGCAGGCTGCAGGGCGATGCCCCAGCTCCACAGGTCTGGGGTCACTGGGAGCCCTGGTGCCCCCACTCTCCAGCCTCTCCACAGCCCTGCCTTTGTTCCACCCGGTCCCTCCTCCCGCCGTGTGCTGAGTTAGGGCTTTCCGTAATGCCCTCCCGGCCTGGCTCTGTCTGGAGCTATAAAAACCCTGCCCCAGGGCTGCCGGCCGCGCCACCTCTCCGTGCGCAGCTCCTCACCCCGGTAAGCGCAGGAGGCAGCGCGCTGGCCCCGGGGCCAGGCAGCAGGTGTGCCAGCAGCCCCGCACCAGCCTCCTCTTCTCCTGCACAGACCCACCATGAGCCAGCGCCGCAGGACGGCCTCCGGTCTCTGGAAGGTGCGGGAGGCTGGGGAGGAGCAGGAGCAGGGGCTGAGCCCCGCGGACACCCGGGCACGGGGGCGCAGCGGCTGCTGGGGGCCTCTGCGCCTGCAGCGCCTCTGATCCGCCCGTGCTCCCCAGATCGTGGTGTGGGACGAGCCCTTCTTCCAGGGCAAGAGGCACGAGTTCACCGCCGACTGCTACAGCACCCCGGAGCGCGGCTTCAGCACCGTCCGCTCCTTCAAGATCGAGAGCGGGGCGTGAGTGCGGGGCGGGGGGCTGCAGGGGCAGGCGGGGGCACCGGGTGCCTTCTGCCACCCAAACCACGGGGCTGCCTCCTGTGGGGAGCGCTGGGGGCTGCTGGGGGCGCTGGGTGCTGGGGGCGCTGGGTGCCGCAGGGCGCTCACCCCACCTCCCCGGCAGCTGGGCAGGCTTCGAGCACTGCGGCTTCCAGGGGCAGCAGTTCGTGCTGGAGCGCGGCGAGTACCCGTGCTGGGAGGCGTGGAGCGGCAGCAACGCCTACCGCGTGGACAGGATGTGCTCCTTCCGCCCCATCACCTGCGCCGTGAGTAGGGCCTGGCACGGGGCTGTGCCGGACCCCCGACAGCCCTGGATGGGGAGATGGGCAGGGGGCAGGGGGCAGGGGGCAGGGGGTGGCCATGCCCACGCGGTGCCCTCTCGCTGCAGGACCGTCGGCGCAGCCAGCTGATGCTGTTCGAGCAGGAGAACTTCCAGGGCAGGAGGGGGGAGCTGAGCGACGACTGCCCCTCGCTGCCCGCCCTGGGCTGGGGCAGCAGCGCCGTCGGCTCCTTCCTCGTCTGCTCCGGCGCGTGAGTAGCGGGGGCAGCGGGGCCCGCGGCACCGGGCGTCTCCAGCCCCCAGCCCTGAGACACGCTGCCTTCTGCTCCAGGTGGGTCTGCTCGCAGTACCCGGGGTACCGCGGCTTCCAGTACCTGCTGGAGAGCGACAGCGGCGCCGGCGAGTACAAGCACGTGCGGGAGTGGGGCTCCCACGCGCAGACGGGCCAGGTGCAGTCCATCCGCAGGGTCCAGCAGTGACCGCCCGCACCGCGGCCACCTGGCCCCAGCCCTGTCCCCATCCCTCGGGCGCTGCCTGCCCGGCGCGGTGCCGGCACCAAAGCTCAATAAAGCTCCGTTGTACGAGGCAGCGCGCTCACACTTGGGGGATGCGTGCGGGCAGCACGGTGGCAAGTGGCTCCATCCCTGTGTCACCGCGGGCGTGCTGTTGAGGTGGTGCCATGTGCCCAGGCGGGCGCTGCAGGGGCAGGGACGGACGGGGGTCTGTCAGTCTGTCCTGCCGTGGCACAGCCACCCGCCTGTCCCTGTCTCAGGCAGGCGAAGCCCCTGCCCAGCTCCCGCAGCAGTGGGGTGCGGTGAGCGTCCCTTGGCCCCACCAAGGCGGAGGAAGATGCTGCGGCCACCACTGAGCCTGGGCAGGAAGGTCCGCGGGGTCTGGCAGGCCCCAGCAGCACGCTGTGCACCCATCCTGCACCCACGCACACCCCCACAGCCGTGCGCACACCCCCACGCACCCCACCCCCATGTACACCCTCCTGCGCCCCCCAGCAGCGCAGCCCCCCACTGCTCCTGCCAGCCGCTGCTGCTGAACCCCTGCTCTGGCAAGCAGGGAAATGGTGGCCAGCTGGAGCTGGAAGTGTGGCAGGAAAAAGCTGGTTTGGAAATGTTTCTCATTTCAGAAGCACTCCGCAGAAAAAAAAAAAAAAAAGGTTTGGTGTGATTAAAATGTCCCATTCCTGACATTTGCAAAAGAAAGCCCACCCTCGGAGACAATGCTTCCCGGGGACAGAAATCTCCTCACAGGACATAACAATTAAAAGGACAGAATAGAGGAAGAGCAGACAGCTTGGGACGGGCTGAGGGAAACCCTGCGGCTGCCCCAGGACATCTGGGGCTGTCGCTTGGAGGAGCTGGTGCCCATCCCCTGGGCAGTGGGGACGGTGGGGACAATGCCACGGCTGGGGGCAGCGCAGCTAGGAGCAGGGCCAGCAGCTGCTGCTGGGACCAGCCCTGTGCTGCTGGGCCCCCGGAGACCCCCGGGGACCTGGGACAACAATGAGAGGGACCAGGGGCTCTGGGGGCTCCGGGTGCCTTCGGGCAGAGCCAAACCTGCCCATGCTCCAGACCCGCGGTGCAAAGGGCAGGGCTCTGGGGGTGCCTCTCCAGCAGCCCCCTCCTGCCAGGCGCAATCTGGGGGGCTCCACGCATCCCCCCTCTGCAGGGCCACCTTGTCCCACGCCCAAATCACCGCTGGGCACGGTGCGGGTGAAGGTGACTCGGCCGCGTTTCCAGCATGAAAATTGGGTGGGAGCTGCAGCATCCTCCTGCGCCGTAGGTAGGGCCGAGGCGGCGGTGGGGGCTGCGGGGGGAGGAGTTATCCCCGCGATGTCTCGCTCAGGGATCCTCTCTGGAAGGCTCCAGCACAAAGGAGCCGTGCGGCGGCCACGAGCGAGCGGAGCCTGCCCGTCCCCGAGCCCGGCCACCGCCTGGAAATCAGGTAAAGCCACCCTGGTGTTTCTGCGCTCTGCTGGATGGAAACCGCCGGGCGCTGCCGTGTGCCGGGGGGGCGCAGCCCTGGGAGCCCCCCCCCTGGGGTGCGATGCCCCCATGCACCCAGAGCCGGGCAGCTGCTGTGGCACCGCTCCCGAGGAGCAATGCTGCAAGTCCCACAGCAACCCAGAAATCCTCCCCCAGAAATCCTCCCCCAGAAATCCTCACCCCCCCGGCTGTGAATCGTCCCCACGCGCAGCCAGGCCCTGCGGCAGCCGCCAAGTTCTCAGCAGCGCTGCAGGGCCGGGGGTGCTGCCCCCCCCCCCCCTTTGCCATGGCGGCAGCAGCCCCCTCCCCAGCACCCCCGGTACCACCCCTGCTAACTGCGGCACCGCCTGTTTGTATTTTGTTTTTTTTTTCCAGAAACCTCATCAAGAATAGGGCTCGAGCCAGGTAAATGGATTCTTGCCTAATTTTCCGTGCTCCCGGAAGGAAGTTAGCCAAAATGATGGTTTACTTCTTTGTCTAGGACCCACCATTTTCTCCCCAGCCCGGTGATTTTAGGTAGGGGCTGTAGAGGAGGGGCTGGGGCCGGCAGCCCTCCCCCTGCAGCGTTAGCCCTTGGTGCTGCCTGCTTTTGGGGAGCCATTTTCTCCCGCTATTGTTTCGCCGCCCTTTGTGCGCGGCACACCTCGCCCTGGGGGCAGGGGGGAGCCCCCAAACCAAACCCTGCGGCAGCCCCAACCCGCAGGACCCCCCCCCTTGCACCCCTACGGTGGGCACAGCAGACGCGGGGGGCGTTGGGGCCGGGGGGGGCCGCAGGGAGCAGGGGCTTCGGGGGTCCTGCTGCGGGCAGGGGGATGCGGGCGGCAGCGTGCCCACGGCGCTCAGCACCCGCTGCCTTCCCCGCTCCTGCCGTGCTGCAGCTTGTGGCCCCCGGCCCCCCCCGTGCTGCCAGGGGGGCTTCGTGCCCGTGAAGCCGGGTGCTGTGCCTGGACACCCAGGTGCCCCCGCGGGTGCTGCGCCTTGCTGTCTCGCTGCGTTGGTTGCTTTCTTTTGCAGCTGCTATTGACTGACTGAGGTCTGTTCACACACAGTCCCCTGCGCAGCCCCCGCGGCGGAGCAGCCAGGCAGGACAAGGGGACATTGCACGGCGCTCGCGTAGCCGCTGACAACAGGTAGGACCCCCGGGGGGGGGGACACATGGATGTTCCTCGGTCCTGCCCGGCCGTGGCAGCCCCGTGCTCACCCACACCCCGAGATTTGGGACGGGTCCGTGCAGCCGCAGTGCGCTCCTGCACTCCCTGCACACCCCGAGCAAAACCCGCACAGTTCCCCCAGGCTTGGTCCGTGGGATCACCCCGTCCTGGGGCTGACTCCATGGGGGGGGGGCTGCATCTCCGAGGGGTGCCCAATGGTGGGGAGGGGGCGGCCGCCACGCTGCCAGGGCTCTAACAGCATCTCTGCTCCCCCAGCACCGCCAGCCCCGGGGCGCTGCCCCAGCTCTTGCCCGGCCGGGCTGACCCTGCCCGAGGAGCCTGGGCACAGGGAGCTGCCAGCGCTGCCAGCACGGGGACCCCACAGCTGCCCGGCCCCGGAGCTGTCCCACCCCGCACAGCCACCCCGTGACAGCCCGGCCACCGCGGGGACACAGCCGAGGAGATGGCGGTGGCGGTGGCTGAGGACGCGGGGCTGCCTCCTGCCAGGTGCTGGGGCCCCTTTCCTCCTGCGCTGCGGCTGGTGCAGGGCAACAGGGAGGGCATGGGCAGGATGAGAGCCGCCCCCCTCCCTGAGTGTAACAGGGGAAGGGGAAGGGGACAGGTGAGGAACTGGCTCAGCCCCCCAGGAGGACACGATGGCCAGAGCCAGAAGGGCCCCCCGCCAGCCCCAGCAGCCCTGTCCCATCCCTCTGCCTGTCGGCAAAGCCCTGCTGCTTTCGGCAAGTGCCCCGCACCACTGCTGCCTTGTCCTGGTGAGACCTTGGCTCTGCACTGGGGGCATTTTGGGGAAACGCTAGGTTTCTGGACCAGCCTGGAGCCCTGAGGGGAGCAGGGCTCCGTGCATCCCTTGTAGGGCCGTGCGGGGATGGCAGCACCAGGCATGTCCTGTGTGTGGCTGCAACATTTGTGCTGCTGAAGGGCCCGAGGGGGCACACAGCCCCTGTGGGATGAGGGCGCCTGGAGGCGACAAGGGGCAGAGGGTGCCTGGGAGCCCCTGCCCAGCCTTGTCTCACTCCTCAGCACGGGCTCAGCACCCGCTCCTGCAGCCAGCCCCACGGAGAGGCGGCCTCTGACGGTGAGGGGACGCGGTGCCAGGGCACATTGCCCCCGGTCCAGTCGTGGTTTTCTCTGCCAGTCCTCCCCCTCCCTTGTGGGCTGGTGGGCTCGGTGCAGACCCCAGCGGATGCCTCTGCAGAAGCCCTGCCCTTGAGCAGCCCCTGCCCGGGCAGCAGGCACCGGCAGCGCAGGTTGGGCACTTCGCCCATCCCCGTCCGCTGCCTCAGCGCCCTGCCCTTGGAGCTTCACGATGCTGAGGCACAGACCCAGCACTGCCGGGGCTGCCTCCTTCTCAGAGCCCGTCTCATCCTTGCTGGTGCCAGGGCTGGGCAGCACGGCTCGCAGGGCAGCGCTGCTCGGGGGTCTGTGCCTCACTGCCATGGGCAGTAGAGGCAGGATCCTGCAGAGCGCTTCATTTGGGAGGGTTGTGTCACACAGGCCAAAACACCCAGACACCCTCCCAAACCTCGATCCAGTGGCAAAGCCCAAAAACGCCTCCTGCTCTAGGACGCTGTCACCCCGGAGGGCACTGCGTGGCCATGGGGGACTGACCGGGCCCGGCTGTGCATGTGTGCGCCCTGCTGCGTCGGTAACGCACTAACCAGGGCCCCCGGCCCCTCGCGGTGACTAACCCACTAACCAGCCCCGGCGCATGCCCTACTAACCGCTCCTGTCTCACCTCCCACTAACCACGGGCAGCCCGCGCTGTCCTTAAAGGGGAACGGAAAAGCTGGGTAAGTACGGGGTGCTGCGGGGTGCTGCGGGGTGCTGCGGCACGGCACGGCTGCGGGAACGCAGGGGCAGGGCTGGGCAGTGTGGCACCCCGATGGGCAGCACAGGGCAGAGCAGGGCAGTGCAGGATAGCCCAGGGCAGTGCAGGGTGGGCAGCACAGGGTGGGCAGCACAGGGCAGAGCAGGGCAGTGCAGGGTGGGCAGTGCAGGGTGCCCGCAGGCAGCCCCCCGCAGGAGCCACTCGCTGCCACAGCGGGGTGGTGATGCCCAGGGCCCCGTGGGGGTTCTGCTGCTGACTGGCAGCCCAAAACGGTTTTATCAGCAGAAGCTTTTCAGTTCCTTTTTAAGCCAGTGGATCTCTGTTACTAACACATTCCTGAACTGGATTAAACAAACTAATCGTCGCTGCTTTTCTCTTCGTTTCTCTTCCAGTTTGTGTGCTCTCTAAGTAGGACCGGCGATGCCACGCTTCTCTTACTAACCGCCTGCACTAACCCTGCCGTTTTGTTCCCTCCTGCTACTAACAACTCTCCTTTGCACTCTAACTCTGGTGCTGTTCATCATGGCAAATGAACAGCGGCCTCCTGCCTGCCCAGGGGACTCGTGGCCGCCGGTGCCGCCGAGCAGCGCTGCTGCCCCGGTACCTCCTGGAGGACAGTGCTCGGGCTGTGGGGCTTCCCAAATTTCCCCATTGGCCTTCTGAGAAAACCACTTGGTTAAACGAAGAAAAGATGTCGAGTGCAAATAGAAAAGCGCCAAAGCTGTTAACAATTGGTGATGGCCATAAAAGTGCAGCAAACCCAGTTTGCAGAGATCCCCCCCAGCAGCACCATTGCCACGAGTCCCCCAGCACCGGTTCAGCTGTGACGGGAACGGCCCCGTGCTGCCGCCCTGCATCGCTGCAGCGGGTGCGGGTGCTCCCCAGCTCTCTTCACCCCCTTTGTCTCTCCACAGTTTACCTCCTGCCTTGCTGCATGCGGGAAGCTGTTGCCAGCAGCTGGTCCTAACTAACACGAGGCGCCGGGACTGGGGCTGGCCACGGGTTGGTGCTTGGAGCATCCTCCCAGCCACTGACACGGCCAGGGGACAGGCAGGGACAGGGACAGGACAGGGACAGGGATGGGGACAGGGACAGGGACAGGACAGGGATGGGGACGGGGACAGGGACAGGCCAGGGATGGGACAGGGACAGGGGCAGGGACAGGGACAGGGACGAGCCAGCCAGAGGCACTCCGCTCTCCACCTGGCAGGGTGAGGGTACTGCTAATGCTGGGGCTGGTCGGCAGCCCCCGCTTTGCTTCCATAGGTCCGTAATTAGGTAAAACTCCTGAGCGAGCTCAAGTCCTGCCGAGGTGGAGGCTTCAGGACCCCCCTGGGTGGGCACGCGGGGTAGCGCCGTGCAGCAGGACATGGCCAGGAGCAGTGGGGCAGGACATGGCCCTGCAGGACACCAGGGGCACGGCGCTGGGGGCGAGGGGATGCGCTCAGCAGGGGCCAGCACCCAGCTGCAGCTGCTCCCTTTCTCCGTCCTCACTGGTTTTTGCTTGTGCTCATTGACCCGGTGCTGGTGAGCTTCAGAGGTAGCCCCAGCCTCTCGGGTGTGCAATCTGTGGCCAAAGGCTGCCGGCCTCCCCATTAACCCACTAACCGTGCCCCTCCCATCCTCAGCGACACTGGGGCCAGGAGGAATTTTTGGGCTGATGCCAACATGTTGAGTTGAAGAGGGTGCCTTGGGGGTGGTGCTGAGGGGTTCAGGAGTCGGCTCCGCAGCTGGAGCAGAGGAGCGGGGATGGGGAAGGATGGGGGCAGAGGAGGGCAGGAGGAGCAGTGGGGTCCGGCACAGGGCAGGTGTCCCCAGCAGGTCCCCAGCGCCCTCCAGCCCAGCCCCTGCCCAGGGACCCTCTCGGGTGGGTGACCAAAGGCTGCGCCACCCGCACGGCCCCAAGGACACCCACAGGGGCAGCCAGTGCCCGCCGTGCCCCCCCCGAGGGGACGGGGCTGCTGGTGCCCACTGGGTGACAGAGGTGTCACAGAGCAGCCCGCGGCTCCTTCGCTCTGCCCTGTCCCCTCAGGAGTCCCTGTCCCAGCTGGGAGAAGTCTGTCTGTCTGTCTGTCTGTCCATCCCTGTTTGAGACCCTCCTGAAGAAGGGTGGTGACCAAGAGGGGGTCCCAGCAGGATGGGGGCAGGGGTCCTGGGTACAGCGCCTGGCCCTGGGGTGCCCCAGCCTGCCCAGAGCGCACCGGCCACGGGCTGCCCCTCGCCTCGGGGTGTGAGATCCTCACCCCCTGCATCACCTCCCTCCTGCCCGGGCTGTGGTGTGCCCGGTGCCTCGCAGGGCCCATGGGTGGGAGAGCACCGGGGCTGGGACACCGGGTGCTGGGGCAGGACACGTCCCTGAGACCCCCCATGGTCCTGCAGCGCTGCGGGTCTTGGTGCTGGCATGGGGCAAGGGCGCTCCGGGGTCAGGGCTGGGGGGCCAAGGATGTCCTTACTGCCTGTAATGTCTGCTGTGAACATGGCAAGTGTGCAAACACCTCGTGTGTGGTGTCTTTGTGGGGCGGGGGGGACTGGGGATGCCGGGGGGGGGATGTTCTGCCTCCCACCCCTCCCCTGGGGGTCCTGGGCAGGGGGTGCAGGCAACCACTAGGCCAGCGGGGTGCTCAGCGGCTCCCTCACCCCATGGGGAGCAAAAGGGGTGCTGGGCTGATGGGCATGCCTGGGGGGCACTGGGGGGTGTCCCAGGACAGAGGCTTTGTCCCACAGTGAATGGGGCAGGGCATGAGAGGGCGTCACCTCCCCCAGCACTGACAGAGGATGGACCTGGAGCAAGGAGACACCCAGCACCCCCAGCACATCTCCTGCACCCCCAGCACACCCCCAGCAAGCCCAACACAGCCCCAGCAAGCCCAGCACACCCCCAGCACACCCCCAGCACCCCCAGGCAGCCCCGTGCCGGGTGCGCTGCAGGAGCTGGCAGCGGGCGCAGCCCCGAGCCCTGCTCCAGGTGCCCCCCCCCCCCCCCCGGGGCCCGGCTCGCGGCTTTTGGAGCCGAGGGGGCCGCAGGAGGTGCGGGGGGAGCCGGGGTGCGGGGGGAGCCTGCCCAGGGACAGCCCACCCGGGGATGCGGGATGCGGGATGCGGGCGGCAGCAGGTGGAGCTCGCGCTCCAGCGAACCCAGCGCGGGGAGCGCGCACCCAGCCCGCACCCAGCACGCACCCAGCCTCAGCCCCCCCGGGCCGTGCCGGGCAGCGGGGGGGGCACCCAGGGGCTGAGCGCGGCCGGGGTTTGGTGAGGTCCTGGGGGTGCGCCCAGCCCCGAGCTGGGAGCTGCAGGGGGTTGGCACGGGGACACCCGGTGCGGGGCGCACGGTGTGGGACATCTGGTTTGGGGACACCTGCTATGGGGCAGCTGGTGTGGGACAATTGGTGTGGGGCACCAGCTGTGGGGCAGCTGCGAGAAGCAGCACACACCGCACGGGGACATCCCCACACCCACGGAGGAGCCGCTTGGTGCAGTGCCCACGGGGCACAGCTCCCGCTCGGGCATGCCAGGCACAGCGAGCAGGACCAGGAGCTTCCCTGGCCCCTCCTGGCAGGGTGCTGCTGCCCCAGGGCTTGGGGCTGGGTGCTGTGGGTGCAGACCAGCCCCGTGCGTCCCTTCCCCTGCAGGCAGCGCGGGAGGGAAGCAGCCAAACCAAAGCGCCGTGTTTATTTTCCCCCCGGTAAGCAGCATTTTGACATGTCACAGCAAGTCTCTCAAACACGTGTTGACAGAAAATGTGTACAAGCAGGAGAAATGTTGTTCATTTGCATCAAATTGCAAAGTGATTCCGTGAAATTGATATGTGGCATTTCGCTCGCGTCTGCAGGTACCGCAGGTTCCTCCGGCACCGTGAGCCAGGAGCCACCGAGGGCTCCCATGAGGGTGGCTCAGCCCATGGGGCTTGTGGGGACCCTGAGTGCCCCCCAATGTCCCAAAGCACCCCGGTGCTGGCTGTGGAGCTGCCAAGGGACCAGAGGAGGCAGGCAGGACACTGCTGGGCACGCCACTCCCCAGCCTTCTGGGCTGTTCCCCCCTCCCCAGCCCTCTCCTGCCCTGCCCAACCCTTCCAGGGGTCCCTGGAGCTGCCCGGGTGTCCCTGCGGATGCCCAGGGTCTGGCGCTGTGGCTGTGAGCTGCACATCCCTGCAGAGCTACTGGGCTGGATGTGGCTCAGCATCAGGAGCTGTGAAACATCCCAGTGCCTGTAGCTCTGCTGTGAGTCCCAGCTGCACCGGGGGGACTGAAGGGGCCTGGAGTCTCTGGTCCCAGGTCTGCGAAAATGACATTAAAAAATAAATAAATAAAATATCCCTTTTTCCCCTCCCTATGTGCACTCCAAGAGCTGTGCTCACAGGGATGTGTCGCCCCCAGGCTCGGGAGGTGTCTGGCTGAGGCAGGAGGCCCAGGGGCTGTAAGCTCACAGCGCACATCGCAGAGACCCCCGTGAGGTTTTTCCTGCAGTCCCAGAGCGCAGCACCACACGGCACCTCGCGGGGTGCCAGGGGGAGACTTTGTTTGGCCCGAGTGTCGTGGTGCAGAATGAAATGCAACTGCACAGGCGGCCTCTGCCCTAACCTCATTAGGAAGGTGGAAGTAATACTAATTACAATCATGAAGTCCCAAACTCTGCTTCTCCCCGGCATAATTTATTTCTGGCCACTTCCCCTTCTCACAACCAATTCTGCACTGAGTTCATATTCTGAAAACGTTAAAAGTTGGGTGGTGCACGAGGACAGACACCACTTCGGGCACGTTATCAGTGCCTGGGCATTTACACCCAGGGCGTGGGGGCTCGTCTGTGGGTGCCTGTGCTGGCCGAGAGGAGCCCGCTTGTTTTCCAGATGGTTGTGGCTGCTCCGTATCTCACAGCCAGCAGAGCCGAAAGCCGAGTGCGAAATAATGAATAGAGCCGAGGCTTTAGGCAGGAGATCCCTGGCACATCTTGTAGGAATTAAAACATCAGTGACAAACTTGCGTGCGTGCAAAGCCAGCAGCATTTCTCCTCCATGCATGCGGAGCGAGGCGGTGGCTCTGCACTGAGCCCCCCGGCAGCCGGGGGCACGGAGCCGCACTGACAGCAGCCGGGAGAGCTGCGGCCACCTCCGCGGGGAC